CACAAACTGAGAATGCCACTGAATGGAAAAGCTCGTTGGATCCACACACTCCTGAAGCCCATTCTCATGAAAAGCAGAGGGTGAAGGAAACCAGCTGTCAGCTGGCAGGACTTTTGCTCCTGGTGGAAAGTGACAGAAATAAAAGGCATCTAAATGACTATTAATGAGGTACTCCAAAGTCAGTAAAAAGTTTTTGATGGTGTTCAAAGTTCACTTTCTGCTCATTTTCATCACTATTGTGTTATTCTCCTCAGTACTGTTGTGCAATCCATTTATTAAGTAATCTAGATGGGGATAAAGTGTTCTAGCAGAATGTAATCAACAATGTAATCAATTCAAATAAATTGATTAAGTAGATGAATTTTATCTCACCATACTCTCTTCCAGTTAACGCCAGGATGGCTGCTCTGTGAGCCTACAGAAACAGGGGTGTGTGCGCAATAATACTTGCTCACAGGATTTCTCCTCCACAAAATTACTGTAATCCAGTTAGGAATAACCACAAAAGATGCAGAACTAAAAGATTTCAGTATGTAAAAAAGTAAAAACTTTTTAAAACAGTAGTAGCTTCAGTACAAAATTGCAAATACATGTAGCAAAAAAAAGAGGTGCCTGTTGTTGAAATTAAGTCTATTTAAGAGCAGTTCAAACATATCACAAAATTTTTAAAGTATATCTCTGAATGAAGCAAAAGTTATGGGCTTGCACCAGGGTAACTAGACAGTTGATTTAGGCCTGACCAGCTTTAAAAAAAAAACAAAAACACGTGCACTGGCTTAAATAAATACATTTTAAACATGATAAACTCTATTTACTCGGTTACTGAAATTTACCTACAGAAAATAATCTTGAATTACAAGGCACAGAGCTAATTGCTGCCTGCAAGTCAAACCCACACTAAAGGCCTACTACTAAAGTAAAGGCAGAACGTGATGAGTAGAGGTTACCTCACTGAGATACTCCTACGCCCTCACAGCCTGCAGGGCACCGCGGTAGGAGCCATGTCTGGAACAGCACTTCTACGAGTGCAAAAGACGTAAAGACACTCCAGGCAATGGCACTTGGTGAAGAAAAATATGCAGTCTCTCTAGGCTTCTGCAAACATCATGCATAACGGGTGTTTTGGTATTGCCTGCGATCAGGCAATGTTTGGAACTCGGTGTTGGTTCACTAGCCACATATACCAGTATTTGGATTAACTGCAGTTTATCATCTACGGGTTGCAGTTTGCTAAAGCAATACCAGTACGAGCATACCTCAGACATACAAAAATTGCAGTTAGTGTCACCATCAGTTACACCAGCTGAAGAAAGGCACGTCCTCTTCAAAGAGAGGAATTAGGGCACAAATACGAATGTTTCTATCCACCTGCTATTTTTGCCCGTATCAGATAAAGCAAGGTCAAATTAACACAAGATCCCTAATAACCTTGTTGATGCATTTTCTGTTCTCTTGCTAAAATGAGGCTTTTTTTTGCCCAGGGTATACACCAGTGCAGTTTTGCATGTGTGGGAATCACAAGAAAGCAAGTTCTGAATTACCAATTGAGGCTGCATCCGGACAAAGACAGCACTGTCAACTTCAGACCACAAAGCCCAGTCCAGCACCATTGGTTTCACACAAAGTATCTTTGAAGCATGCTGCTTTCATACCACCAAGCTGTAAGGTTAAGCCTAAGGAAGGTTTCATGCACTCACTCCTCAGCTGGTCCCGAAATCACACATAAAGAACAGTGCACATCCTGAAAATAAAAGCCAGCTGCCACTCACTAGAGCTGCTAAAGAAAGTTAAAAAGTATGTAAATAGAACTTCAGTTAAAAGAGTTTACAATAACTGATCACCTAGTAGAGAGGAGAAAACTGCCCAGGTAAACCTATCCAGTGACTGGCTAACAGTTACAAATTTAACTGAAACCATCAGTGAGTTGCCAGGAAGAAATGACGGTTCCTGGTTCCTGTAAATAGAACCTCCAAATTTTCTGTCAGTGTTCTCCCAGAAAAACAACAAAGGAATTTGCCACAAAAATCTCAGGTGGTGGCCCCAAGAACATTAAGTGAAGCAATTAATTCCTCGAGAGCAAACAGGCTATCAAGTCTCTGGGATTCATCAAAGGGATCTCACTGAAAATCTCATTTTGAGAAGTGTCATCCCAACTATCTCAGGCAGTCCAAGAAGGTAACTGTTAACTTCATTCTCAGGGTGCAAAGTCTCTTTGGAGAGTGAAATAAAAACTCACTTTAGGTGATTATGGAAGACTTGCATCTAAACTCCTCTTCCACCTCTCCAATTCAAAAGCATGAAAATCACTCATTTGAATGATTCATCATTATTCTAAGTTCCTTACATTAGGAGAAATCAGCTCCTGCTTCTATTAATAAAAATCATTGCAGGTGTTCCCTGGGTCTTGCTCATTGCATTAAACATGCCTCATGCTAACTTCATATAAACGATCATAGTTCACTATAAGGTGAATCTCAGTAATATTTCAGGCATTTTTGCATGTAAACAAACTGTTTTCAAGCTTTAAATTGACAAAGTAAAACACCTGGACAGCCAGACTTCTGTTTGTAAAAAAATTCAATCAGTAAATAACGGATGGGAAAAGCAGCAGCTATGCTTAAAGCAAAGTTATCAGAATTTGTGCTTTTCAGCAAATCTAGTAACTGATGGCTATCTAGTAAAGACGTCTGGCTTCAAAGAAGTCCCTTCTTTTATTTTCCTCCGCTAAATAAGGACAGAAGCCAAGTGATCCCTGGAGAAGCTGGAGACTGGAACTTTAGAAATAAAGTAGGTATTTGACCTCTCAGTTGGAAAAAAAACACTTCTGTTTCAGTTTCCCTGAAGCAATAAGACTGCAAGAATATTCGTCGCATAAACCATTTCTGCTTAGAGCTGTTAGTGCAAGATGCAAATCTTCAATTTAACTCATTAAAGAGCCCTCCAAGATTCTAATCAATATTCAACTTCAAACATCCATCACCCGAGGTAACTACAATAAGACACATTTTCTTGTGTTCTTCTTTGTCACAGGATACAGAACCGCACGCACAGCTTCAGCAAACACCTCCCGAACACCCTCCTGATTCAGCGCTGAGCACTCCAAATATTTGACTGCTCCGATTTGCTTAGCCAGCGAAGTCCCCTGCTGCGGGGTAGTAGGAGCCAAGCTTTGCTCTTTCAACTTTTTAACTGTTTCCAGGTCATTTCTCAAGTCTCTCTTCGTGCCCACTAAAAGAATGGGAACATTTGGACAGTGGTGAGAAACTTCAGGATGCCATTTGTGCCTCACATTTGCATAGGAAGAGGGGCTACCGATGGAGAAACAGATGACGAATACATTGGTTTGAGGATACGAGAGCGTACGCAGGCGGTCATATTCCTCCTGGCCTGCAGTGTCCCAGAGATTCAGGCTAACTGTCCGGCCATCAACAGTCATTTGGGCACTGTAGTTGTCAAACACGGTAGGGATGTACTCTTCTGGGAAGGCATTGGTGGTATAGCTGATGAGAAGACAAGTTTTTCCCACAGCACCATCTCCAACAACTACACACTTTATAGTCTGCATTCTTTACTCAGAAACAAAGTCCTGCACAAAGCAAGAAAAAAAAGTTAGGAAAAGCACACTCAACGATAGTCATTTTAAAAACACTTGCTAAAGCTTATCTTTAATATTGCTAGCAATTTCTTATCACAGCTAGACACACTCAGTGTCTCAGAAGCCATAAAGAAGAGCTCACAGCCTAGAAAGACAACAGTGAAATGGAGATGCAATGAGTTGAGCGCTCAGTGACAACTGGCTGCATTCCAACCATGTAAGTACGAATTAGCTGAATTCCCACAGTCTTGCCTTACTGCCAGACAGTTTCCCACAGGCAAAGGGACAAGTCCTTAGGGGTACCTGCAAGTGGAAAGGGATCGTGACCTGAGACCTAGTAACAAGATACTCTGTCATTTGTAGGTTCACATACGCACCTCTGTACACACGCACCCCCTCCAAGATTCACACTTCTTATCTACAGAGTCTACTGCCTAAACAGTTTACCAGAAAGAAAGGTCCAAAAATTATATAATAAACCAAGATACCCATTGCTGGGCTGCACTGCTACTGTTTACTATAATAATTCACTCAACTCGGGATCAATCAGACCTCAAGAAACTGCATTATTAAGAGGACACCAGATAAAAGGTTCAGAAAGTAGCCCATACAAGAAAAGCTGTTCTTTGAAATATAACTAGCCATAGTACCCAGATTAGAATACATAAAGAATTTTTCTAAAGAAGCCAAGAACAGATTATTCTCACTAATCAGTGACAGAACAAGCAGAACTTAATAGGCTTGAGCTATAATAAAGAACGCTTATACTGAGCATTAGAAAAATACATGCTGTAAAAAATCAGCGAACAGCCTTCCTAGGCAGACTGGGGAATTGTTACAGGAGATATTTGACACTTAAAGGCTTCGCTATCCCTTTCCCGGTATGTGAAGAGTAGGTTTGATAATCAAATGGATATAGCCTAAAACTCAATTCATTCTAAACTTTCATCACATGAACAGCAGGAACTTTGAAAATAGCATGTAACAACTACAGACAGTCATTTGTTGCACATTGGTGTATGCTGGAGCTTCCACTGCTAGCCTGAACAAGAAGAAACTTGCATCTGCCTTCTCACCCAAATGCCTTTGAGGTACTATCAGTAATCCTCAACTTGCAACCAGCAGCAAATACACTGCTTCAAACAGAAGAAATAGTGGGAGGAACATATTCCAGAAAGATCACAGCTCCAGCACCATCAAAATAGCAAAGGGAACATATGAAAATGAGCAGTAGTGAAGTACTTCACTTACAAAAGTCATGAAACCCCCTCCCTCCAACTTCCTCTTCAAGACTATCCAAACAAATCAACAACTCATTACCATTTAAGTCTCAGCTTTGTCCTTTTTGATGAAGTCTTTATCTGTATCCACATATTGCTGTCTTCCCACTGGGAGCACACATGATTCTTCTGTACTAAGTGAAAATAGACTACCTTAAGCTTTGGCACAAAGCTGCAACAGGCAACTCAAGTGATACCGACTGTGGTCACTACAACATACAGTGCTTAAGGAAGTATGAACGTATGTACACACACACTATTGAAAACCAATCAATGGTGGGAAGCAGTGCAGAAACCTTGCTCCAGAAAGACCCAGCAAGACATTGGAGGGGAAGAATTTGGAGGAAAACAAGCAGGAGGAAGATGCAGCAGCAGTTTATCCTTTTCGAAAATGGCAGGAATTACATTTCTAAATCAACATGAATCACCTGAAATGAAATCTGGCAAGTACTTTTGAGCTTTGGCAGAAAAGCATACATGTGAGTCTCATCATACATAAAAAAATCAGTCATCCCATTTCAAGGCTCCAGTCAAATGTAGAGAGAGATGTGTATGCAACTGCATATTGTAAAGGTAATCAGTAAAATGAAGAACAACACTGACCAGCAAAAGCTGACAGCAGGACTGCATATATTATTCCAGAACAGTTGCACCAAGATTTTCATTTAAGGCAGGGGGGGGGGGGGGGGGAGAGAAAAAGAAAAAAAGTAGGTAAGTTCTGTCGAATTAGAGGCTTAGAAACATTTCTTGCATTTTGCAAACCCCAAAGTTGAAACCCCTTTTAATATAAAATTACTTAAAACATTACAAATTAAACATTTTTAGCATTATATTATTAATAGAGGTTGAACACTTACTGGCAGCATGCAATACAACATAATATTTCTGAATACAAAGGGTCTAAGTGCTATAAGCAAACAGCGACAGACAAGCGGTTGTATTTTAATACCATAACACTGTTCTATCTGAAGATGCAACTGTAACTCGCCATCCTAGTCTCTACTGCTGCTCTCCCTGTAGGGCAGATCACCAACTGCTTTGAGACACTGCCATGCTCTCTCCAGCAGCAAGGCTGCCTTCAGATATTTCCAAGCCCTGTTTCCCCTTCCCATCCAGGTAGCACACCACCCCCTCAGCTGTGACCACACACTGAAAAAGGGCGAGGAGTTGTTTCATCCAGTTTACCCAGTAGTACCACAACCGTGTTGATAGAACCAAGCTAGTGGTAGCATATGGTGTGAATGAATCACGGGGGAGGAACACCATACATTGCTATTGCTGCCAAAGTATCACTGGACTGCAGCACAGAGAGCAAGTTTTAAAGCTTATTCCGGTGTTTACTTCAAACCACTGAAGTACTAGAAGATGCTGTGCCAGAAACCTTAGGGGCGACCAACAATTCCAGAGCAAAAGTTTTTTTCCAAATGAACTACCTATGCAACAGACCGCTATTTTGATCTGTCAATAGCAAGTGACATCACAGAGATGGCAGAACTAAGTCAGTTGGATACATGCAATAAAAACTCAACTGTAACAACAGAAGTCTCATGGAGAATTAGATACACAAAGCCTTTTATATGCCCAGTTCCTAGTTTCTAAAATAAACAAATTGCAAAGACTTGGAAACAGATCTCTCTAAAACACAAACCACAAGCTCCCCCAAGGGCTTACACCTCTATGCATTTCTGCCCAGAGCTTTTCACAGAAAGACAGGGTATCCCAGAATTGCACCCCTACCTGCACACACCAGGCAGTGATATCTGGAGGGTCATCACACCAATATTGTAAGACAATACAGGCAGTTTCATATATTGGTAAACTACAAAGCCACATGTATCCCACACCATCAGCAGCTAAAATAGCTTGATTCAACCCGACTTAAAATTTCTAATGAAAGTGTGTTACCCAAAGATTATTTTGTTGGGGCTTTATTTAAGAGGTCATTAGAGCTTTCAATTTGGAGAACAGTAGTAAGGTAACAAAAAAGCCTGGAACACGAATGCTCTTTCACAGCATTAATATCTTGAATTACCTGACTGAGGCTTGGATTTCAGAAGAGCAACATTTGCAATAGGAAATAACTCCATGCAAACATGCCAAAGCATCAGGCTAAGTATGAATTACACAATTACAATTAAAGAGATTGTAGGCTTTTAAGTATGCTTCTCTGCAGGGCTCCTTTAAAGTAGGTTGTCTTAGCTGAAAGGAATCGTGTGGCATATGCAATACAGAAAAACAAATACACACTTGGATACACATGATTTAGTACTGAAACACAAAATTTAGATAAATTATTTTTAAAAAGAGTAGAAAGAAGCTCCTACACTGCAGAAACCTGTATGTTGTGAGCAGGTGTAGTTTGGTTAAAAATTTACATATGGAAGACATTTATTTAAGCCACAACCAGGCAAACAACATTACCTCCATCAGGCCTTTTCTATTAAATCCACATATCGCTTTATTCAAAATGTGTAAAGTCTCTATTTATTTTTTCTTGTAAACAATTTGTCTAGCAATAAAATTCTCATAAGATAACAAGAAGCTGGGGTTCAAATTGGCATGGAAAATTCTATTTACTTCTCAAGCACCCTTGAACTTGGCACTGCATGCTATTTGAATATAAATATATGCTGGGGAAAAAACCATACTCTGAAAACAAAATTACCAACAAATATTACCAAGAGCAGGAAAATTGGTTTAGGGTTGTTTGGGGTTTTTTTTGTGAGCTTCAAAAGAATTTTGGGGGAAAAATTTAGAGAGAAAAACTCCACGTACAACAGGTAACAAGAACTGAAAAAGAGAAAAATACAGATTAACATGTCAACACATCAAAAACAAGGCTCAATTTAGAAACAGAAAGCTAGGCGCAAGCTTCAAAGCCAAGTTTAAAGGTGACTCGGCAAGAGAAAGGAGTGAACGGAAAGTCCAAAGTAGTGAGAGGTAATTCAGGTTGCCTAGTCCTGCCAGAGAAAGGACTTTCATTACAGTTAAGATGGAAGATCATCAGAACATGAAGAGTTCTAGCAGTTACAGCAGAATGGGAATAATTTTCAAAGAATAAAAAAAAAAAACAACAAACAACTACCCCACAAAGAAGCGTTGTGCAAAAACATGTACATGAGAGTTATTTCTATCTTGTCCATCAGTGCCTTTGAATTAGAAAACTGGCATTCATGTTTGGGTTAGTTTCCTTCTCAGAAGATGCTGCAAAGTCCGCTTTCGCTGCCTGCATACCTGGCACTTCCTTTGGAATGTGCAAGATTTCAATCGACATGTCAAGACATCTTCTGCAGAGCTGCTCCCATTCTGACCTAATTACATATTTTCTGGTATCATTAACATGGACAGCTTGCTCTCCTGTAACCCAGCCGGACATTACCTGGGGAAATTCACTATTTGGATTCCACTCCCCCTCCCCACAAAGCTATCATAAGTGAAATCACAGAATAACCTCATGCTGCATCAAAATTTTTTTGTGGGAGAGAAAAAACTTGTAGATCTTCCCTTTAATACTTCTGAAGGAAAGTTCCCTGTCTGCTGAGAGAAGGGAGAAAACAGCGACAGAAAACAGAGAGGAAACATGAACGTGAATTCTTCTGGGGCTTTCAAGATTTATGCTTTTTATACTTCCTGCACTTCAAAAAATTCTTGGCAGAGGAACTACTTCTTAGCAGGATATGTCTCTGCCCTTGCTATGTTAACATCAGATGCCTCTT